CCTATTTTCGCACAGCTAGGTGTCCTGTAATTGGCTTGCACATCGTCGTTCATGCGTAGTACCGCAATTTACGTGAGCATTACGACGAGCAGTGATTGCAACGTTGACGTCGGCCTGAACAGCCATGTGAAAAACTGCGCAACTGTAAAGGTACACGACTATCAAAAACACAAAGTACGAACACGCAGTCACAATAGCCTGCGGTGTGACAGAGGCGCAACGCGGCGAAAAGTGACAGCAGAGTCGACAGTACTTCTAACTAGTCTGGTAGGAACTGCAGACCCCCCCCCCACCCCCTCCAGGCAAAGAGAAATCGGTGAAAGAGACGCTTCTGGAGGATATGTCTAAGCAGCAACTTCGGGTTATGATGAGGCGCGGAAATTCAGACGACAAATAATTCCGCCGTTGTCCAAAAAACCGGGATGCTTACACAGATAGATATCCTGCATTGACTGCCCACCGCAGTACTCCATACAGATCCATAGCTTGTTTGCGCGCAGGTAGCTGCCAAAGTAGCGCACGATGTTTTCGTGGGAGCACTCGAGAAGAGTATGTATCTCCTGGCAGATGGAGCGGATGTCATCTTTGGGATCAATCTTCATCACCTTGATGGCCACAACTTGCCGAGTTTCTCTATGAATAGCCTAGATGGCGAAGAATAAAATGAGGAAGTTAGAGGAAAACTAAACCTCGAACCTTTGTACCTCTGGCACGCCGGTACTGAGTTAGTGGTCAAATATTGTCTAATCATGCTTTTGTGTCTACTCATTTTAATACAGCCACAGGACTGGGGCCGCAGCAGTGAACTAGATTGGAAAATAAGTAACAGGAAAACCGCGTATGCAGACACTTACGGAGATCGTGCTTTTAGGCGCAGAGCTTACTTTTGGTGGAGACTAGCAAGCACACAAGAGGGAAGAAAATGCACCATCCCTGAGTCTTCAAGGTCTGGCATTCGCAGATCCCAACTTGTTTAGCTTGTAATTGCTCAAATTCCACAAGTTTTGCAAGGTAAGCCGTAATTTAGGCTTTTCAACCTCCTCAGAAATCAATCGCTAGCTTGGAGTGGATTAGTCAGAATTGAGTTTTATACGCACGGTTTGAGAATTGGTACGAATATTTGAGCCGAGTTCCACCAGTTGCAACAGGAAAACTGTGTAATGTGCATAAACTGCCAACAGGAAGTTGCACGATATGCCCTTCTTGACAGCACAGGTACTAGCTAGAGGCCAAGACACGTGTTTCGCTGATATTCTACCATTGCATGACAAAGCTGAGAGAGGTTCGCTCCAAGTTAGTGACTAATGACTCAGAAGATTAGAGAGCTGAAATTTCAATGACTCAGAAGATTAGAGAGCTGAAATTTCAAAACCGGAGTATCCACCAGAAAGCACACGAGAAACGTTGGGGGGGGGGCAGTGATGAGCCGAACCTCTCGCAGCTAAGTCATACTGTGGCAGAATATCGGCGACACACGTGCCTGGGCTTCTAGTTAGTACCTATGTTGTCGTAATGGTAAATCATGCAACATAAATCGTAATTATGGGTGCTGGTCACATCTCCGCCATCAGTGTCATCGCCAGTAACAGGAAATCAAATGCGGGGTCTTCGAACTTTATGGCACATTCAATTGGGAGGGGGCAAACAAGTTGGTCGGAAAAGACGAGAAGTCTATGAGTGCCTCTAGCCAGAGAGCTGGAAGACTACGCCAAAAGTCAGTATTACAGTCAGAGAGTCAAACTGGTCGAATATGAGCACAGAACACGCGAATAGGATTGCTAAAAAGTCTAGCAATGCCGTTGTACTTGGATACAAAAGGCGGGCGTTCCAATTCAGTTAAGATTGATTTGGGGTGAAAGAGGGATTACCCGGGACCCTTCAGAAAGCACAAACATGGATAAATGAAAAGTCATCTTCGCAGGGTCTTCCTCCAGCATGGTGCGAAATTCTTGGAGAAAAATCTGAAAGACGGCGTTCTTTGCGGACTTGTGACTACGCCACTGCCTGACCATCAAAGCTGTCACTACGTGCAATAAACAGGAACTGGCGAGGCGGATGTCGTATTGACATGCGAGTGACGGTCTGGTGAAATGGAATTGTGTACACTGACAACCTACAGTAGTGACTTCCTCTACGAACTATCCAACGACAAATATGCACGAAATGTGGAAAGATTTGGAGATGGAGGATGTCCAGCACGCACATCACAAACCCAAAAGGAAAGATTTCGACCGACAAGGAAGAAGCAAATGAGTATATGTGCCGTATACCGTGGTCCAAAGTCTTTGAAGTAGTATTAAACCGACCCAATAAATGGAAACTAGCATAGATTACAGAGGTCTTTCCATGCTCACCGAGATTGACGGCAAAACAATTTCCCTAAGACACCAACATATGCTAAATGTCTCTTCTACCTTGCCTAAAATAGTAGAATATTACATCGATTGGATATAAGCTAGCGAAACCCTCTCGCCATTCGATAGACGCACGTATATACCGCGGGTACCGGCAGCAGCCAAGAATTTGTTGAGCATCAGTCGGAGAAAGAATGGACGGGAGAGAAAGGACGGGAGGGAAGGGCGGAGAGAAAGGACGGGAGGGGCCGGTTCGTCAGGCTAGTCCCATTTAAACGATGAAAGTTCGATTGTCGTAACCGACGATGTCTACCATGTACCCCACAGAGGGCATGAATTTGTTTACATTGGCAGTAGACTTGGACGGCATCTACCACATTTCCCCCTTCCGCGCACCACCTGGGCCAGGTGCCTAGGCACAGTCAATGAGATCGGAGGTGAGAGAGGGCGTAGGTGGATGGCACGGCAAACGAATTCGAACCTAGACGTACCACCACACCTTCCCGTTAAAACTTTAGCCTAAATTTTCAGCTATAAATGCCGACAGCTGTTGTCGCATTTGCAACAAACACATGTGCGGAACATCATATTATATTAGTCAACACTGTTCGACGACAGTTTTTCACTAGATAATGTTTGGGAAAATCAGCTTCCTTTCAAATGATTGGCTGTTCTATTCAGTTTGAGCATGCATAAATAGGTCCCAAAAACAATGGAAAATATGATAAGATCTGGGAAAGATTTCAGGGTAGTCAAAGAGCTTTAATAAAGAGCCAACAGGTCACCTTCCAAGTATGGTGCGAAGCAATGTCTCTCACACCAGTAGTCCGAACTAAAACCGTAGTTATCGCCACTAAAGGCTATGAGAAGTTTTCAGGGTTGAACAGCTAGATTCTTTCCCGTAGCAGGTCATACATGGTCCCCAAGTGTCCGCCGGTTTTGTGTGATCTCGTTGTTTTCTCTAAACCTAGTCTTTGCTAACCGTAGTCTAGTAAGCAGACAGGCTGGAAGTCTTAGCTGGGATCTTAGAAAGTAGAATGGACGCGATACAATCGAGTAAGACGCGAAATCAAAACGAGTGTTTCCTGCGTAAAGACAGGAAGCCAAAGGACAATCAGACCGGAAATAGATTCATAAAACGGCAACCAAAGATATATGCGGGTGGATTTCTGTTTTCAGGCTAAAAACCAAAGTGATAACGTGCAAGGCAAGTAAAAGACAAAACAATGCAACTTCCTCGGTAAATGTGTTTAAGATCCTGAGTACCATGACAAGCAAGGGTTTTGAGCAGACTTCCAATCGGCAAAATTTACTGACAAAACACAAAACGGAGGGCATATTCCTTAAAGAAATCGTGCAACAGGAAATATGGTCCTGTTGAACTACCGATTTTGGCAAGAGAATGGATTTTAGAGAGCTCCCAAACAGGGGGATTATGTCCTCGGTAACCACAAGGAAACGATCACATTAACTTTAGTTTTGAGTTCGTAACAGTCTTTTTCCACCGGAGGACGATTCGTCGCTGTAGCTACAAGACTAAGCCCAGTGATTACAAGACAAGAAGCGAGCATCCGTTATGGAACCTGCATAGTGCTGTTTGTCGAGTACGCGACGGCGTGCAAATTGAACGAAAACAAGATCAAAATACCACCCACGCAACGCTTTCTTGAAATATTGCAGGCAACCGACTTACTTCGAAAATACATAGCTCATAACGACGAGCAACGCAAACCGGATATCAGTTGTCATTCCAAATGGACAGACAAAAATGCTAGCAAAGAAAATACGCAGATTACAAACAAGAACTAGCATATGATTTTGGGAGTCACTTAAGGATTAGGCCAGAAAACGTATTAAAAGGTCAATCCTCTCAATCAAAATTAAAACGACTTTGTGGATTGTTTCAAATATCTTCTTTCCACACAACTCGATATACTTTCGAAGGCTGCGCGATGATGACAATGAATGTCTGCCTTTTTCCATTAAAGACCCGGTTGGCTAGTGTACGCAGTCAAGGATGGGGCGGCTGTGAATTCCCGATTCAAGCGGACACGTAATTTTAAGCTAAAGTGGGTGTAATATATCTTAATGGGTAGCATTGGCAGATTTTTCGTCTGTGCTGACTGAATTAAGCGAGGTTTGGAGCGGAAAAGAGTACAAAATCTACTTGGAAAAGAGAATGTAAGGTTACTGAGACGCAACACTAATAATAACACCAAACAATTAATGCCAGACGAAAAAAGAGCCTTCTCCGAGGCAATTGTCAAGAACTCACAAATGAATTTAGAGCTTTTGCATAGACTTATGGTGACAGGGCGTAAAATGCATAAAATTTCGGAAAATGAATGAACTACCTTATATACATCGCCATAGGTTCCACTTCCTATGTTGGCTAGTACTTTATATTCCGCTTTAGGGTCAGATTGCTTAACAATCTGCCTCAGATAAGCTATATCGGGATGATGCATCCACAGTTCATTAAATCTATTCGAATCGCGCGGTTTATTTATATAATAATAAAAAATTAAAATTAAGAAACTTAAAAATTGGGTTTATCTTTACAAAATATTGTTGTAAATGAATAAGTTTTTCTGTAAAAGTTTCCTTGTTTTACTGCACAGGGTTGAACGTCGGGGGCGGTTGACGATGGAGTCTGCTGCGGCCAAGAAAGTTTGTTACTACTACGATGGTAAGCAACTAACACTTATCTAAAGTGATTATTTATAATGGCCATTTTCCGCAGTTCTTTCTTTATTGTTGACTTTCTCATGTTAATGCATTTTCCCGAATTTGCAAGTGCCTAAGTACGCCACACATATGTCCCTCTGTTTTGCCATGTCTTCCGTTTCACTGCCAGTTTATCACTCTAGCTCTCCCTCCGAATGTCATTTGTGCTTGCGTTTGAGCCATAAATACATCCGAATTTACTCTCGATTCAGTGGCTTTCATGCGCTTACCGCAATGCATTTGTCCCTTGTGTTTCCCCTTGCCTTGCATGGATGATTGCCCCTATGTGTGGTTCACGGTCTAATTTCTCTCCGGTTCTGTCTTTTAATACTGTGGTAACAGTGTTACCTTTTGTGTGAGACCCCAATTCTCTTTTTCAGGTGACATTGGAAATTATTATTATGGACAGGGGCATCCAATGAAACCCCACCGTATACGAATGACCCACAATTTGCTTTTAAATTATGGACTATATCGAAAGATGGAAGTCTACCGCCCGTGCAAAGCTTACTATGACGATATGACCAAATTCCACAGTGACGAATATATTAAGTTTCTGAAAAGCATCCGACCTGACAACATGCACGAATTCACAAAGCAAATGCAGCGCTTTAATGTAGGCGAGGACTGTCCTGTTTTCGATGGCCTTTTCGAGTTCTGCCAACTTTCCGCCGGAGGATCTGTGGCTGGTGCTGTTAAATTGAATAAGCAGCAGACTGACATTGCTATTAACTGGGGTGGTGGTCTGCATCATGCCAAGAAATCTGAGGCCTCGGGGTTTTGCTACGTCAATGATATTGTGATGGGCATCCTTGAACTCCTGAAGTATCATCAGCGCGTGTTATACATCGACATAGATATCCATCATGGTGATGGCGTTGAGGAAGCGTTCTACACAACTGATCGTGTTATGACCGTCAGTTTCCATAAGTATGGTGAGTACTTCCCTGGAACTGGCGACTTGAAGGACATTGGTGCCGGTCGAGGGAAATACTATGCAGTCAACTGTCCTCTTCGGGATGGAATGGATGACGAATGTTATGAACGCATCTTCAAACCTGTGGTCTCCAAGGCAAGACCAATTTTTGCCCCTCATCGTGTAGGTTATGGAAACATTCCGCCCTGGAGCTGTCGTACTTCAATGCGGAGCCGATTCCCTGAGTGGTGATCGTCTAGGTTGCTTCAACCTCAGTCTTCGTGGTCATGGAAAGTGCGTCGAATTCATCCGCTCGTTTCCAATTCCTCTTCTTATGTTAGGAGGTATGTTATTTTTGACTGAGCATTTAACTCCATTTAGGTGGCGGCTACACAATAAGAAATGTGGCAAGGTGTTGGACGTATGAGACGTCGATTGCTTTGGCTACAGAGATTCCTAATAATCTTCCTTACAATGACTACTACGAATACTTCGGTCCTGACTTCAAACTACACATCAGCCCTAGCAACATGGCAAATCAAAATACTTCTGAATATTTGGACAGAATCAAGACTAAACTTTTCGAAAACCTTCGCATGATTCCCCACGCTCCGAGTGTGCAGATGATCGGTAGGCTGTCCTATTTTGGTCGTTTTGTCTTCCCCTCCCCCCCACATCATTGTTGGATGGCGCATAAATCTTCGTTCTGCACCACCAGTGACATTTCGTTTCAGTGACAAGGGCTTACTTCATAACTGCTCTTTTCTCGCATTCGCCGTATAGATACTCCGGGAGACTGCATGGAAGTTGAAGAGGTCGAAAAGGAGGCAATCGAAAACGAGGATCCAGATAAACGGATTTCGATTATGGCCGCTGACAAGGCAATCCATGGGGATAATGAATTCTACGATAGTGCTGAAGAAGATGGTGTTGGTCTTAACATCCAGAATCCCTCCACCAAACCTTCCAAGGACGTCCAGAGTTACCGAAATCAGCCAAAACGTGCCCGGACCGATGAAAAAGATGCACCGGCAGCAGCCAGAGACTCCACGATGAATGATGCTCCCCCTGTATGTTTTTTTCACACCTGTCAATTCCGAAGTGGGAATCAAGTTACTTTAAAGTGCTTTAATGGCTTTTGTTAGCTAGGCTGTGTTCTGCTCATGTCTGACGACCATCCGCCACTATATGCATGGCGTTTTTAGGCTGCACTCGATTGACCAACCGTGAAAAATAGTCAGACAGACTCGTTTATCAGGATCCAAGAGCTCACATTTCAGAGTCGGACTGCGTGTCCTGCTAGAAGTATAGGCATTTTTATTAATACACGCTCCAAACTTTCCCGGGCAAGGTCTGCAAGTGCATTTATCGGTAATCTCTTCGACTTTCGCGTCGTTCGTCCATTTTCTCTTTCAAACCCACCGTTCTGTAAAAAATGTTTACCGACAAGCTGTCATCGTAATCCGTAGATGACGTTTCGGACTGTGCTGTCATCTACGTTGACTGTTTTTGACTGACGACTTTTTCCCCGGTCTCCTCAATGATCGGGGGTTGTTATTCTTAAGATGCGAAGACCGCTTTCAGCCACTTATTCAAATTCTAGCAGGTGCATGTGCGTTAAAAAATGAACAATTCTGGTTTTAAAATTGCGTGTTGCCTTCCTCCCGCGATTTCTTCATCTTCCCGTCCTCAGTCAACCGAAGTTTGCACTAACTTTACAAAGTGGCATACCATCTTTGAATATTGGTGGCCGGACCCTAATTTCAAATTTATTTCAGTCTTGTGATAGCGTACTCAGCAAGATTCTCTAATAGCGAGTCGTCAGGTAATGTTCTCACCCTCATTCTCCGTCGTTTATGGTCTTACTAGTTCCACTCTAGCATTCTGGATTTTCTCGCCCGATTTTGCGCGTTTTAATTCCATGGTCAGGCCTCACTAGTTCTAATAGTTTTTATGCCCCCTTCCAGAAGGAAAACGAAGCCTCGGAGTCCGGTGACAAAGAGGATTCGGATCCCACCATCGAACCTGCTTCTGCAAAGGCAACTTGACACAACAAGTTCAGTCTCGTCATTCTTCCTGTGTGGGCGCTGGTGCCCTGCCTCTAGCAACCTCTTTCAACAGCCTTTATATTTTGCGATAACTTGCTGCCACACTTGAAAAGTAATCTGCCGATTCTACTGCCCATTCATCCCACTTCCGTCGGCTCTTTTGTGAATCGCATTTAACTTCTAGTGTGTGTCTTCTGCCCCTTATGACTGTATTCTGTACAGCAAATTTCAACCCTTGTCATTTGTGTATACCATTTATCGGATGGTTTTTATACTGTTGCAACTATCAAACGCGTTTTGTGACGATTTTCGGCCCTTAAGCTGCCTACTAGACTGCTTCTTTACGTAGATGGGGTCCGCATCGGGACGAATACCCCCTAATCTTCCGTTGCTTGAAAGTGAGAGGTTCTTGCCACTGTTCATTTGTCTGCATGACGTACCACGCGGTTCTTCATTGCCCTTTCTGCGTAGATTCCTAGAACACGGTGGCTTTTCTATGAGTACTGGAAACATACTTGTAATGATTGCGACTACGATCCTACTGGTTTCAACAGATCTTAACGATGTTTTGCGGTCGTCTTTATTGAGTGGCTTGGTGTCACCGTATACTCTGATCCGGAAACTTCAGACTGACCGCCGGCTGTTGCGGCGCTTCCCGCAAAAAAATGCGGTCTGGTAGTATTTGCCCGTAACTTCGACGCACGGATGGCTCGCTGTGACTACACTGCAGGACACCGTGGTTCCACGCTGGTAACAAAGCGTCGTCGGCGCGAGACTCCGGGTGTCTGCTTGCGGCACAGCCTCGTTTCCCTCCCATACGAAGGATGGGTCACAAGACGACGACCTGAAGGACGGAAATATCCTTCAGATGGGAGGTAAACTGATGTCGACTCACTGAGCGTAGACACCTGGGCGGTCAACGCGTTTCGGTTAGTGCTCGGGTCTCCTGGCTGCCAGCCGCTGGGCGTACACTCGTCGTCGACTGTTGTAACTGATACCCAGTCAGCTTTTCATTGCTGCCGACGTTTAGGGCCTGCTTCACGGTGGTATGTTCTCCAGCCTAGTAGTTCTTATTGCGTATACCTCATCAACAACAACAACGACGACGTCATGGGCACAACGCGGAAGAGTGCGACTAAAATTAGTCCCCCAGCTGTCCGCACCGCGAAAGTTTGTTTCGAGCCCTGAATGCCCTCACTGGGCACCTCCGTATCTGCCTATAAACCACCGACACACCGGAGCCGACGAGTCCCACTGTCACAGCTCCCAATATCTCAACCTATTAGTCCGGAGTATACTGCGACGTTTCGTCTTTGTGTGCCGCATCTTGGGCGTTCGGTGTGGGATATAGTGGGTAGATCGTCCGATGTGGCCGTTGCAAGACTTGTGTCTACGCCGGCGATTCTTTGTCTGCCAACTGCCAATTCTTAACTATCTGCCCGGCGCCCACCTGGGCTCCGATCAGCCGAAGTTATCGTTTTACTCCTGACGAATCTAACGACAGCACTGTTGCCTGGCCTCACTGTTAGCGTGCCTCTTGGCTATAACTGCCCTCGTTGGATAATTTCGAATGTATCGAGCACCAAGACCACTCCTGCTACCCAGATCAAAAGACAACATGATAGTGGGGGGGGGACACCTCGATTTCGATGGGCAACCAACTTCTTCACTGCGTGCTTGAGATGGCGACTGTTGTGGCAGTCATCCGGGTGCGCAGGTCATGACATGTCTGCCGGGGAGCAATAGGGACGTGGCATCCCGCTAGAACTAGCAGCAGGAGCCTATGGAAGGCTTTGGACGCCTCAAGCATAGCCTGTTGATTCTGAAGGTCTCCTACACTTCGAACAATTCTATATTTTTTCCAAGTGGAACGTGAAACTGCCAATCTTTTTGACCTTGGACATCGTCCACAACATGCCTCGCGCTTTGAGTTGTATGAAATCAGCTTCTTTGAGAATTATTATTCCAACTTCACTTGGGTAGTATTTTGTATTTGAGGCCGAATTGGGCAATGCCGTGTGAGTTTTGCCTACAAAGGCAAGGCAATCTTTGTCGACCATGTTGGGCCTATTTACCGTCATCTGTTAGTGATGCCCAAATACAGACGGGCACACGGGATATGAATAGTAGTCAGCTAACCAAACAGTCCCCTATCCGAGCCAGGGGTCCACGTCTAGTCAAGAGAAAAACCGATGTTTGTCAAAATGAATGCTATATATGGAGGATTTCAAGAATTATTCCAAGATCCACAAAATTCCCCAGGGACTAGCAGGTTGATCCCAATGCATTGAGGAAACAGTACCTGCCAAATTAATCATATTCAATTTAAAAAAAAAACATGGAAAGTTGTTGAATGTAATGTTAAGTTTTTTGGAAACAGTGTTTTCGGTGAAAACAAAAATGAGTCTATGGCAGTCGACTAATCAGGCACTAAGTCCGATCACACAATCGAAGCCTACCTACTTCTCCACACGGCATCTGGAATCGGACGCACGACACCCCATAATGGACTCCGCAGCAGGTGCGACGGATCAAAACGGTTGTCAGACTGCCTCATGGCACGCGCCAATCGGGTTGCATTGATTTCGCACGATCGCACAACAGCTGTCGTGCATGTGTGTGGTGGCACGCCTGCAATGTTGACTTCCTCGCCGAGTCGGCTACTGGGCCTGTTCTCATCACCACTTGGATGGAACAGTCCACTGGTTCATCGAAGAGGGTCGGCCATTCCATTGAGCGGAATGAGTGAGGCCGACTTTGGGGAATCCATCCATACAGTACATCAGCGCACTCCAAACTATAATGAATCGGACGTGCTTTCGTCTCTCAAGACTCACTGGAAGTCGTGGCTTGGGGGAGGGTTGCAATGACTCCAGCTTACTGTGACCTTCATTGCATTCTTAGGCATGTGAGATCCGAATCACTCTTAGTTTGCCACGGCTGGATCGGAGACCAGGTCGCGTATGTGTGTTAAGTTTTACCAGCCTCTGGGCCCGCGTCCGCCCCCATCCCGTCGTCTTCGCAGTGTCTTGTCATCGGAGCAAGGTCAGTGAGTGAGGAAAGAGTGCGATAGATGCTGCGCAAGTCTGCCTCACTATAAACTAATTCACTCACAAGTGCAACTCGCGGTAGACATCGTCGCTTGCAATAGTCCAATTGTCGGATTCGTGCGCCTTACCGTGTCCGTCATTTTGACGGCCAGTGATAGTGGTGTTTTCGGGTTCGTCAGTACATTTTGTTAGATGCCCCTTCCCCCCTATCTGACTGCGTTTACCGAGCGTTCTTGCCTTATGATTTTCGGCAGCAGAAAGTGGCAAGCGAGGAAGTCGCACACCGCGTCCCGCCTCATTGTGTTTGGTCGTTTGGTGAGTGGAAATTCATAGTTGTTTAGACCACGAAAAGATCGGTGTGACGGTCGATGGAACAGTCTCTTGACTGCCGTGCATCCTCAGGTTGCTCGTTGTATAGTCGTCGTCTCGATTTCGCCAGGGTGGGTGCTGTGCGCAGCCCGAAGGGCACAGGTGGCAATGGGTTTCCATACCATACATCCCTGTTCTGCACGTCATCTACATGGTCCTTAATTCCTAGGTGTGCCGGACCACACCCCCTCTCCCTACAAGGCTAGCGATGGTTCAGGCTATCGTACTACCCCTTCCGCTCTATGACACTAATACGTGAATTGTCTATCGATGACAAGCGCGGCGACTGTCTTCGGGGCGGGATCGCAGGAGCGGACCTCCGTCACTCGAATAGTGCATAGAATTAACAGGCAAAACATCAGCCTCAGCTGCGCGGCTGCGCAATATGTTTCCGAACGGCTCCTGAGGGTACTCATCCACGATGATATTGCTGCAGGAGCTGCGACTACGGAGGGCAAGGACGCTGTGCGGACTAGTTCGGTAACGAAGCTGATCAGAAGCTTGAGACAACCTACTGAACGTCTATTTCTGTGCGGTTCGACCGAACAACAGTGCCGGACTAATTTTGCCTTTCCCGCGCAGACCTCGGTTTAATCTGACTCAGATCGTCTTCACCTTCCTTCTGAGAGGTCAGCCACGAGTGCCTTAACTTCACAACTCGGAAGTGTGCTTTGAATTTACCGAGAGTCTTGTCTCCGAGTGACTCCTCCATGCCTAGTACCACCTCCATTTCCGTACAGATTTGCTCTAACCCACGATTCCGCTCTGACTGAACTTGAAATCCATGGACATTTCAATGTATATTATGCCGGCCTCTCGGATAAACCAGTTCTGGAGGAAGCTCAAGTCGACAAACGCACGCTTCCGAATATTTATCATCAGTATACGTCCAGGTATGGCAGCGCAGGATGGAAGGCAGTTAATGAATTAAGGCCTTAGCGGGGGAAAGAGGGTTGTTGGGCGTCTGGGTACGCAGAGCCAGGTGGGAGGTGTTATGGTCTGCTTCTGTCCGGAAACGGGGGGGGGCAGTGGAGGATGCGAGTGGGTCGTGTTTTCGTTCCATCGCTTTAACGCGGTGGGATAAAATGTGGACAGGAGGGTGTGTGTGTGTGACTCACATCGAACCAGGGATAGGTGTGCGACCTGAATGAACGCCTTCTCTGAGGCTAAGACTGGGTTGGCCAACCCTGTAGCCAAAGCCGCTGGTGTAAACATTGAGTGTATTCCACGGGACCTTGTAGATGGCTCAAAAGTCCTGGATGAGGTCTACTCAATGAGCTACGACTATGCCGGGAGATGGATTTTACTGTGTGTTGATCGAGCTAAAGTGGTATGACACACTCTCATCTGCTTAACTAGACACCCGGTCGTTCAACTGGCCTAACCTGCGCCAAAGATACAAGTAAGTCCGTAGGTTCACGTTGATGAGGCCGGGAAATACAATGTTTTCTTACCTCTGAGGAAGAGAATAAAATGCTTGGGAAACTTAATTTCAGAGGAGATTAAAGAGCCGCAAACACGAAACTGGAGTATCTACCAGAAGAGCATACAGGGAAGGCTGGGGGAGCCACCGATGGGCAG